GTAGTGGTTGTGTTTGATAATTTGCCTCACTTGATTGGTTGATTTCTAGTAAAAATCTGGTTTGGGTTAAGAAACCCTAGATTCCATTAAGTTAGATTAGTTGAGCTTATGGCTATTGAGTTAGGGTTTGTGTAGTTAGATGTTAGAACAAGTTCTATGGTGCAAATAAAATTAGCTTAAGGATTATGGTTAGTATTTGGTGATTTTGGGTTAATTTGTGAAGGAATTTTAGACCACTCCTAGACTGATATAAGTATGGTTTTTGGGTATCAAATTGGTTAGAAAAACTCGCCTAAGAATCATAAGAACGGACCGTACGGTAGTGGCGCGAAAAAACGGCAAATCTGGGAAACTGGACAGTTCAGGATCCGAACTTCGGCTTTGTTTTTCTTGATGTTACGTACGGATTCAGAAGTTCCTCAAAACATGAAAGTTGTAGCCTTGTAAGTCCTGCATATGTCTACAAAATTTCAAGTCAATCGGAATAGCGTAGCCTGCGTTATAGATGAAATACTCAAGGCTGTTTGGACCATCAGATTCTGTGCGTTTTTCGTTTTGCTTCTGCCTGTGACTTTTTCGGTTTTTATCCCGTACGATCTGGGTTTTGACTCCTTCATAAGAAATTTAGATCTTGGTTTTGGCTTCGAAACGGTATAAAATACGTCGAAATCCGAGTTCCATAGCTCCTGTTATGACCAAAACAAAATCGATCGTCAGAACTGCCTGGTATCTGGACAGTTCTGATGGATACTTTGACACTCAAATTTTGTTCTGTTCTGAGTGGATTCAGGTCTTGGTCAAAACATCAAAGTTTTAGCCTTATGTCCCAGCTTTCTAATACCTTTGGAATTTCCTGATTTGGAATTGTGAGCTGGGAGTTATGCTCCAGCAAACATACCCTGTTCGTCACTCTAAAGTACGAATTTCTGGAACGGTTTTCTGCACTTTCGACCCATCTCTGCTCAGATCCGGAGTGAGGTGTCTTCATGAAAGTTATAGACTTTTCTCTTAGCTTCGCAACGGTACCTCATGTACCTTGATCCAACATTCCTAGCCTCACGTTTGATCAAACCGGTTTGGGAAGGCAGATTTGGCCATTTCCGTTTTGCCGTTTCCGCACTTGCGTGTGCCGATTTTGCCGTTTTGCTTGTTTTAGGCATATTAGTAGCCGTTTATGATATTATGTGATGCAATCTTCTATTTCAGACAGTGGTGAGCTAGGCGGCGCCGGTGGGGCCCACTACTAGCGAACACGCGCGAAGTGATTTTGCTCTTGTACCACTTTTGTAATTTGAGTAAGTATTCAGGCCGCTCTTATGTGTTAGTTGCTTATGTGTTTTGACATGTATGAAGAGGGTACTTAGGCGAGGGTGTACTTTATCGCACTCGCTCTAAACCCGAATTTACGCACATATTTGTACATGACATATGTATGTGAATCATTTTGGAACTAAAACCCTTGACCTTGTGGCTCGGGGTGATTTTGAATAATTTTGTGAAGTTTGTGAGTTTGGGGCGAGCTCTTGACCTAGATGGACTATTCGAGCCGGTTAGGGCTTGGTCGAAGTCAGTCCAACCTGGTTGGAGGTCACCAAGTTTGTGAATCCGGTTCACCGAGTATGTGGACCAAGTTTGTGACCCGAGCTTGTGACTCAAGCTCAAGTTTGTGATTTCGTTCGCCCGGGCAAGTTTGTGAGGTGACTGGCCAGTGAGGGTGATAAGGTGTCGGTGGGTGTACAAGTGAAGTTCTACGGACCATTAAGTGTGGTCGACGGAGTGTCGGCAGGAGATCACACATGGCATATGAATTGGCTTTGGAGCCACCTGTATCCTTATTATGTGATGTTACTTTTCTGCTTTTGCTTTATTCTTACTATGTCACTGTTGTTACGTGAAATTTACGCTTTTACCCCTGTTTACTTACTAAGCATATAGTTTACCTCATTCTTTTGTTTTCCTTAGCAGGGGCCGACGCGGGGACTTTTGGCGCACACACTAGCATAGTTAGGTTTGATTGTAATAGTTGGACTTATAGTATGTTTGTTTTTGTTTTAGTTTTGATGGTTTGTATAAGGACCCTCCTTAGGGTCTACATTTTGGTTTTGGTGATAATTATAAGGATGTAATAGTGTGAGCAGGTACTTTTGGAAAATGTAATTATAACTCTTTTGGGATTGTATCTAGAACTCTTTTGAATTTTCTGGCTTTTATTGTTTTAAGTTTTGAGTCCTGGCGCGAGCTAGGCAGGCGGCCCGCCGATACCCTTGGGTTCGCCCTTGGGAGAAGTGGGGTCGTCACAGTGAGAATAGGAGTGGAGCAGAAATAGGCTTTGTCTAGGTTTTGTTAGCGTGAGTACTTCGTAGATGTCTAGCCGACTTGTTTTGGTTTAATCTTTGCAAGTTCGACTCTTTGACTATATTATAGCTTGTGTGGACATTGGAGATATATGAATGTATCTCGATTGAAGGTTGTAATTAATATCCCTTTTGTTATCGAGGTTTTTATTTGTAAATTTCATGAATTGTGGCTGAGTCCTGGCGAGAGTAGGGCAGGCGATCTGCCAAACCCTTAGGTACGCCCTAGGGAGAGATGGGGCTGTCACAGGTGGTATTAGAGCTGTTTCGCGTGGTCTTTACATGGGGTGAACTTGGGTTGAGTGGTGTTATGGCTCCGATTATGTGAATAATTGGAAAAATTAGGTGCTCTTATTGGGCATAAGTTATGAATCATGACTATTATAAGTCTAAATCCTTTATCATGATACTTGAAAAATATAGATATGAACGTCAGGTAGGAATCTCTAATATGGGTGATTTACTCTTGGGACCGGCCGACTCGAGTTGTGAATTATCTTATTTTGGATTCGTGTACTTGAGTTCCAAAAAGTGGAGAATACTAGAATAAGGGTCTGTATCTTAATTGCATTTGAGGTGAGTTTTGATGGCAAAGGCCAAGACGCGGAAGATTCTACCGTTTGACCTAGTAATTGAACTGATCGAGGGGATTGGATATAGGATTACTATCATGGACTGATCTAGAAATAGTCTGGCTAGGTTTTCTATAGAGGGTAGTTAGATTGTAGTATACATTGGAAAATTAGCATTGAATACCTGTTTTCTTTCTCTTATGTACGTGAGGACTTGATAAGTGTTTACTTGATTTTGAAGCTGTTTAACTATAGCTAGATAGGTATTTCTACCCTCTTACAATATTGGATATCCGTAGTTCAGTTCTCGATGAACTACCCTTACCTATACTTCTTAGATACCTATCCATTAATGTCAAAGTATGGACTTGGCTTGATTATTATCGTGTCAAGATCGAGAGTTTTGGAATTGTGCATGGGAATTTGAGAAAAAGAATTTGGATTCTATACCTGTATGCAAAAACTTGAGATAAGGTGTGAAACTTTTGATATACAAAGCATGCTTTAGGGTTTCGTTGTGTATATAAGTGATAAGTGGCATAGTATCTTAAGGTATTTCCCTAACTATGTTCTACTTTCTTGTCTCTCTCATTTGAGAATATCTAAGTTTAATCTTCCGTGGTTGGATTGGGAGTGAATGAACTTAACAGTTATATGGTTAGAGTCCCAATTGTACTTAGTTGCTTATTGTCATCCATTGATTTGTCTGGCAGGCTATCACTTGAGTTCAAGTGAATCGGTGAGATGACACATTTGGCTGATATGTCTAACGAAATAGAGATTCTTCGAAAGGAAGTAGAGTTCCAAAAGACATTAGCTGAGCACTGGAAAGGGCGATGGAAACAAGAATATTCAGAGAAAATTGTGCCACTGCACAAGAACATAGAACTGAAAAAGAAATACGAAGGGATCCCAGAAGAGGTGTGGAGTAAGTTTGAATTAGTACATTCGTCTAGTGGAATAGCATCTCAAGACATTTCTAGTGATAAAGATAAAAGAGATGAAGGAAGCTCTCGCGATATTAAAGGGAAACGTAAAAAGATGTATGAAGATGAATTTGCTATGATGGATAAAGAGAGGAAGAAAAGAAAGAATGGCCACTTCAAGAAAAGATGTGTAACTGCTAAGTGTGAAACAGGTAACAAAATTTATACGGGAATATGTTATTTGAAAATTGGTGCATGTCTTAGATGCAGCCAACTTGGACATCAAGTGAGGAACTGCCCAAGACAAATGAATTTCGAGATGGTGAAACTACCGTAATTGTTAAAGTCAGCAATTAGTGATGTTTTGACTGAAATAGTTGTATTTATTGAACTGCGTGTTATGCAAACCTTATGTAGTAAGTGTATCCCGTTAGAAACAGTGGACTTGGTACCTAATATTGTAATGAGTGGTATTAAATATTGATGATTTGGCAGCATTGGATCCTTATTCATGAATTTATTACTATAATTCAGTCTTGAAATTAAGCGAGAATTCTTCGTTTGTGGTTCGAAAGGAAGGAATTTTGGTTTGAGAGGGTGATGCGGGTCTCGCTGTATAATTGTAAAAATAAGAGGTGCCTTATATCGGATAAGTTGGGCAACCTTAGGTAAAGGACAAATTTCTAACCTGTTTATTCTGGATACTGAATAAACAGCCAACCTTGGGTACTTTGGACAATCTTGGGTAAAAGACAAGTTTCTAGCCGGTTACTGAATACGGAGCGTTAAGTGACAGTTAACGTCTCCAATCGTTTACTGTATGAGTGTTGGTTAACAGCCAAAGACTCCATTTCTGATTACTGAATACTTGGGGTTATAAGCCAAATTCTGAATTTCTGTATATTTGGAACTATAAGTCCAACCCAGAGCTAGTTGGTCGAAACGAGCCGGCAAGGGCTTGGTCAAGGAGATCGACGAACCTTGGGCACTTTTCACGTTTGGCCTCGTAAGGGGTATGTGTGGCGACCCCACTTTCCCCTAAGGCGAACCAAAGGGTTGGCGGGCCGTCTGCCCAACTCTCGCTAGGACTCATGCAAGCATTCTAACCTAAAACCTTGGAGTAATAAACTACTCTGTTACAAAACAAATTTTCCCGAATAAGATCATCCTTACATCCAACTTAACTTCAGAGATAGCAGAGATAAATTAGCCAGTCGAGGCTCTTAAACATCCCACGTGCTACGTACCAAAATATAAAGTCGTACCAATCCGGGTAGATAAATACATAAATCTCTATTACAAATTTACAGGCCAAGTAATCGAATTAGGGTTTACCCATTTTCCCGTTTCAAGTGGCAACCCAAAAGAAAAGTGCATTATCTCAATAACACATTACAGCCCACAGAATAAGTTATAGCATTCAAATACAATCCAAAAGGAAAACTTAAGTAAGCATCCAACTTTCAGTTTCCAGAACCTGTTAAGGAAAACAATAAACGTGGGGTGAGCTAAAGCTCAGTGGTGCCCCAAAAACATGCAATCAATTAAAACAATTAACACGTATTGATTCGATTGAAGTAAACAAATAGGAAGGCGATAATACCCAAGTGTACCTTAGACTGGTCGAGGGATTCACCCAACGACGTTACGTCCTGAACTTACATTATTATTATAGACTCGTCGAGGGATTCACCCAACGACTTTACGTCTAGCACTTGATTTATTATTATAGACTCGTCGAGGGATTCACCCAACGACTTTACGTCTAGCACTTGATTCATTATTATTGACTCGTCGAGGGATTCACCCAACGACTTTACGTCTAGCACTTGATTTATTATTATTGACTCGTCGAGGGATTCACCCAACGACTTTACGTCTAGCACTTGATTTATTATTATTGACTCGTCGAGGGATTCACCCAACGACTTTACGTCTAGCACTTGATTCACAAAAAAAATGTTTTACGCAAGTCACCACTCGAAAGGCTAGTGTGATAAAGTACACATTGCTCACTTCGATGGGTCAAAACCACTTCATAGTTATAATATAGCAAGTTAATAAAGCGCTTAACCACATAACATAAAACAAGCAGGGACACTCACCAAGAGTGAAGTTCAGATGTCAAGTTGGGAATCGAATTCCGCTTCCTCGCAATATCCTAGAATATCAAATATTGAAATTATAAGCTTTTATTCAGTCTTTAGACTCGAACACATTGAGGTTTATCTAATATATTGCTAGTTTACTTTCCCATAGTAATTTCAAAAATCTACTTAGATTGAAACTTGACACAAATAGTAGAAATGTTTCTTATAATTTTCCTTGAGGTACTTTTCCTTACAAAAGGGTAACTAGTATAAATTTTCTTGAAATAAGTCGACAAACCTCTTAATATCAATGTTAGAAAGTTACTTTGAACATTTCTTTAAAGCTATGGTTCCTGCAAAAATTATTACTAAAACTATTTTACCCTAAAATAAGGTTTCTTGCCGAGCAAGTTTCCCATGCTTTTCCCCAGAATTATTAAAGCTCGTATTTTGGAACTTTTCCTATAGTTAACTATAGCTTAAGGAAAGAAAAAGAATTAAAATAAGACTTAGAATTTTCAAAAGCTATATAACTTATTTACTAATCGAGGCTAGTTTGAGCTAAAGGAAATTATCGAGTTGGAAAGTTTTAGGCAAAACACTAGATATGGAGTTTTATAATATAATACTAGCTGGAAAATATTTTTGATTAATTTGATCACAGCTACTCGAGTTCGCAAGGTCGATACAACTTCCACATCTCCGATTCCGTTTCGAAATTATAATATGGATCAAAATATGACAAAAATCACATAGCAAATTACTAGGGTTTCGTCAATCATTAGCCCTAGATTTCAACAAGTGCATTTCTGAATAAAATAAAATGATCAACCAAGGCTTCATCAATCATTAGCACTTGGTTTCAGCAAGCCCATCATAAGCAACTAAAAATAAAATAAAGGTAAAGCCTCCAAGACATTCCAGCAATTAACTTTCGTCACCCTGTAGTACTTAGAAAATCATTCAAATGGCCAAGAGCTTCATCAATCATTAGCTCTTGATAGCAACCAATCACTTTCAAACCAAAATTTCAACTAGAAACAAGGAGTAAAGTCACGGCTAATTTAACGCTTAAATAACTCGAGAAATTCAGATTACCACCATAGCATTTTACTAGGCTCAATGCCATTCACATACCAGAAAATTTTAGCATGTAAGCTTCACTTGAAATTCAGAAATTCAAATCACAGATAGGCCCAACATTCGATTCAAGTCAAAATTCATTTTCCTGAAGAAACAGGACATTAAGTCAAGACAGCCTACTTTGAGGAATAACGTACAGCCGTACACATGGAGGAAAAATATAAAATTTCTACAGAACCAAGGCCCATGTTTCTAGTTTCAAATGCCACTGACGGCACCTTAAACGGATTTTTCTACACCAAGATATAAGCATTTTACTGAAATTGGTCAGGGACATCCAAAAATCTGAAATGTCATTTTTCACATGTGAAAAACTCCTTTTTCTCTTTTTGCACCAAAATGTTTTTATTCAAACCATCCATACATTTCTTATATAATTCCAAAACAACATATTCCAGGCATTTCCATCCCTCATGATTTGAAGGAAATTTTCGAAACTAAGTTGAGCTTCCAACTCAACCTTCGGCCATCACAAAGGAAATTCCAGCATTTGTATACTAACCTCTTTAATTCAATCCTTCAATATATTAAATATTTCCTCGCCAAACCACTTAAATTTTGCATCTCTTATGTAGCTCAAGACCATCATAGTCCAAGGAAACAATAAAATAAATGTTCAGAAACCATTTAAACTTTCTAAAGGCAAACTGAAATTTCTGGTTCAACCTTGCTTGCGGCTTCAAAGATTTCCAGCAAACAATTCAACTTTAGTTCAAATTTCCTTGGTTTAAACATGGTGTTAGTTACTCAATTCAACATTTTAAACACCTAGTTAGTTACTAAAATTTTCCACTTTCAAAATTGAGTTCAAACTATCATTATTAACATCAAAATTTCCAGAAATTTTCCTGCTTGGGCTCGGGTGATCATGCCTTGAAGCAGAATGTACTCTTAACCTTTATTTCTCTGATTTAAAACTTACTAATCAACTACATGCAGGGCCTAATTAACTTGTTATTAGTCATCTAATCATGGTTATAAGTTTAAACAACAACACTAAACCAAATCAGGTTGCAAAGCTTTAAGCTAAGCTCTCGGCCAAACCAGAAATTCTTCCAGCATTTGTTTAGTCACAAACCATTTTTTTTCTATGGTTAATTCCTGTATTTTGCACTTAATTTCACATGCACAACTGCTGAATTTAACTAGCTATCATATCCAGACCAGAAATCAGTTTGATAGCAACCAAATTGAACCAAGTTAAGCTGTAATAATTAAGCTAGGCTCTCGGCAGAATTTTCTTACCCCAAACTAACCCAGAAATTTATCTCTGCTTTAACACTTCATTCGAATGCCCAATTCATCATACATGGTCTTAATCTTCCAGTTCTTACTCAGCTAAAGACATTTGGGTGTTCAGATTATCACACAAAACAAAATTGGAGCTGCAATAACACCTCAAGTCTCGGTAGCAACAATTTCTCAAAACAGAAATTTTCCTAAGGTTTTGATTTCAGCATCCGATTGTATAATCTAAACATGTAATCTCTGATATAGCTTGATCAACTAATAATCAACCTATTTTAGACCAGAAATTACCTCAGCTAGCAACCAATCTTTCACACGAAATTCCAGAAATTTCCTTCCTAGCTCTCGGCCAAGTGCAGATGGTGATTCTGGTTTGGAGTTGCGGCTGAAAAGGGTTGTGGATGAAGGTAGAATTGGTGAAGCTTCCGGCAGATTCCCTTCCCTGGCTTTGCTCCAACTCACGGCTGAATCCAAGAAGTTTCCGGCAGCTCTCTCCCTCTCTCGGTGCTCTCGGTCAAGGCAGGGAAGAAATGAGGTTTTGTTGTGAATCAAGAATGAAAGAGTAGAGTGGTATTTGGAGTGAAGTTGATTTCGACTTTGGTTTGTGCAGAGAAAGAGTCGGCTGAAATGGTTGTGAGATGTAGTGTGAATTTGATCAAGTGGTTTTGTGGTGCCGCGGTTTACGAAAGGTTGCGTATCGAATTGGTTAAAATGCAATTGGTCGAAGTTGCGGTGATGGGAATTTGTCATAAGGGTCGTTTGGTTTCGCATGGAATTGTAAGGTCTTTTGGTCTTTTCACTTGGTTTCCTAATCTCAACTTAATTTCTCAAATTTATCCTCAAGGGTGATTTGAACGCCTAATAACCCCTCCCAATATACTTAACCATTTTTATCGAATAAATATCGATTAAACTTAAATATTAAGGTTCCTAACATTATATAGCGATTAACTTAATTATCCGCATCTCCAATTGTTTATTCTCAAGAATTAAAGTTATCCTACACAAAATTTATCGAATTTTCATGCCTTAAGTATGTTTAGTATAGGAATATCATATTTATCTAAAATTCATTGATTTTTATCTTAACGCGGAAATTCCTATAAACATTTAACATTATTAACGATTAAAACTAGCTATCGGAAATCAAAGAATTTATTTTAAAGTAATAGAATTAATCCAACTCAAGAAATATTAATTTAGTATAGCAAAACCGAATAATTCAATATTGGCACAATTATATTATTTATTACATAGAAATTATCTTTACCCTTTTATTTCAAAACAATTAATTACAATACTAGAATTCAAAAAAATTAAATTATTAGATCAATGAAATAGTTTACCATTGAAATATGAAGTTAATGTAACAAAACTAAGAAGTTTAGTAGTTTAGCACAATTCTTTTATTTTGCACATAACGTTTATTTCTACGTACTTACTTAAAAACAATTGGACTTAGTGCTAAAATTTATTAAAGAATTAAAATGCAAATAAAATATGCACTGATATTTATATGTCTATTTTCAGGGTTCTCACAGTATGTATGAGCAAAGATAGTTTTAAAATGATTTTTCTAGTATCGGTTAGTTTTTGAGAAATTAAGAGCGTATTTTGAACGTGGGACCCGCAAGTGCGGTAAATGTAATATATTTTTGATAACTTGTTGGAGTTTTGTGCTAAGTGATATTTTTCTACAAGGTGTTAAGAGATATTTATGGATTGGTGTGAGAGGGAACAAAGAGATAGAGATTCATTATTTAAGTGACAAGTGTCGCTTGGCCATTGGGTGGAATTTTTGACTTTTATGCCATGTCTTACCATTTGACTTAATAAACTAAAACTTTACCAAAAATTTGCTCCATTTCCAAGTTTCATGGCCGAACCTCTCTCAAGAAAGGAAGAAAGGAAAGCTTTCATCTTACTTCTTCATTTCTTGCTTCAATCAAACAATTTAACCGATTAAACTTGGATTTGCTCCATAAAAACCTTTCTCTTGGTAGTATTAAGGTGTGTAGTGAAGTGGTTTGAGAAGCAAAGGTGCTAAGTTGGGTCTTTTCTTGGGTTTGTAAGGTAAGTGACTAAGGAACCTTTCCTTTGATCTTGATAATGTTCAATTAGTGATTGGTGGTGGTTGAATAAGTGATTTTATGGTTGATTTCCTGATTTTGGTTGAAAATGATGAAGTTTTATTATTTTTGGGGATTTTTCTGTTTTCATATGGATATGATTGTGTGGCTATATATGATGATTGGAAATGATGTTTAAGGACTCTATGAGGTGGAAAAAGTGATTAATTGCAATCAATTTCTGTTTTGGAAGAAATTTCAGAAAATCAGGGTTTTGTGATGAACATTCTGTCCGAATTTTTAGGTCCTAGATAGAGGCCGAATTGGCCTTTGCTTAAAACATGAAAGTTGTAGGGAATGACATTTTAAAGGTTCCTACAACATTTCAGGTCAATCGGAGCAGTGTGGAATGAGAAAAATCGAAATTACTATTGCTGTTCTCTGGGATTTAGCTCATTCCGTGTTATTTGTTTTCCTTACAGGGTGATAATTACTTTTGAGAATGGGTTGGATAGTCAATTGCCGAATTGAGCATGTAAATGTCTTTTGTATTGCTCTTGAAGTGAAACCCTAATGTATAACGGGTTCATTTCCTTTTGATAGGCAAATCGAATGTGTACTTCCTTAGTGAATGGTTTTGGCTTGCCGTTGTGGCTTGTAAATGGCTAATGTTATGTTGTATATGTTTTTCGATGCTTGGTTGGGTTTCGGACGGGTCGGTTACTATTCATGGCCGACTCTGGAGTTCGTTTCTTTTATTTTGGGATATTTTGCCCTTTTGCCTTGTTGCGCGCGTTACAAGTTTCAAACGTGATAGATCGCTTTATACTGCACCGTTAGTCCTGGCGAGAGCTGGGCAGGCAGTCCGCTAACCTCTTTGGTTCGCCTTAGGGGAAGGTGGGGCTGTCACAGGTGGTATCAGAGCCTAGGCTTCAGATCTCTGTAGTGTATCCTAAGTTTGAAGTTTAGGATGCCTGACTGTGAGATTAATTTGAATATTATGTGAACGAGGAGCTATTGTATCCTAGTGGGACAAAGAAATTGATTGTTTGAAAATTCCTTATTTGGGACTTGTAGGAAAAAATTGAGGAATTAGATGACTAGTGAAAGATTGGACGAATTTGAATTCTATTATGTTTGTAAGTGTGGAAGGAATTGAGGTGATTCCTAGTACTGGCCATGGCCATGGATAAAAGGTGAGATGTGATAGTCAAGTTTTATGTGTAATGATTTTGAACTGAGATAAAAGGTACCAAAGGAGTAAAATGCATTTTCCGCCCACATACCTTCTAAAGAAATTATGCTTTGGAATTTTAAAGAAAAACTAGGAGGTACTAGTTTTATTTGCAAGCGATGATTGGAAATAAGATATATACGTTTTAAGTATGTATAATTTGCCGATTTTAGTCAAAATGTGAATTTGACTTGAAGTTCAAAGTTGAAAATTTGTGAATAACTGATGAGTTGTTGAATTTTGTATATGATGGGTGGTTAAGGTTAAAAGTTTATAAACTAAGTTTTCCCCTTGATTGTATCTTTTCGCACTTGAATTTTTCTATGCTTTACATGAAAACAAATATATCTTGAGTTTTCGAAAGGATGGTGAGCTATTGTAATTATAATGAAAATCCTGAACTTGATAAGTTTCGGATTACTTTATATACTTTACTTATGGTTTCAAATTCTTGACTTTCTAGAAGGGTAAGCTTATCTTTAAGTGTACGGACTGAGGGACTTTGAGATATAGAATGATTGTATTCAAGAGTACGAAGTTAGTGAGCCTATTTGACTTGGTTTCCATTTGACATGTAAGTTAGCAAGTTGTATTTGTTTCTTGGATTTGAACTTGGAGCTTGAAACTTTAATTACAAAACCCTAAGACTGGTTGATTTTGGAGATGATGGTGTTCTGACTGGTGGCTTGTTTATTAAAGATTTTGAACTTCGAATGGATAATCTTGGTTCCAGCTTGTGTTATGGATTGATTGGATTTTTGGTTTAGCTATAGCCCTAGGAAGAGTGGTGCACGCTGTGAGGCCTTTTGTATCCTGCTTGTATATATTACTATATTTTGTGGCACTTAATTGCCTATATGCAATATATAACGTATTGGCCTTATTTTGTGACTTTTAATCCGTGCTATAATTTTTGATACCTGTAAAGAATCATGTCCTGCTTATAAACATTTGTGGACTTTGTATATGCATTAAGCTCTTTATGCCTAATGATGCTTTTCTTATGTTTTTCCTGTGCTTATAGACTTCTATTAAGTAGAGCAGCAGGAATGAGAAAAGGGGACCGTGGCCGAGGGCTTAGACAATCCTGTACTTGTGAGACAAATTGATGGACAGTTTCATATAATTTAATGGGTCCCCAGTGCTGAATATGAATTGAGAATAAACCAGAAGGTTAGATTTACCAAGGGATAATGGTTTAACCTAGTCGGGACCTTGGTAAGATTTTCTTGTGCGCAACATATATTACGATTGGTTCTGTGACCATATTTCTATCTTAGGAAGTTTGAACTCCGAAAGTATTTCGTTGGTTTGGTGAGAAACCTTGAACTACCTGAAATCGATTAGACTGAGCTTACTTGAGATTTGAACCTGTTTAGGCTAGTGTGGCCTTACATACCTAATGTGGACTTGAATTTGTGACTGCTTAAGAATGTGAATTGCTGGACAGAGGCTAGACCAGTGTGTTCTTACTCGTACTCATGATCCTTGAAGTTGAACTTGAACTTGCACTTGAACTTGAACTTATGCTCTTATTCGTGCACATGCACCGTGAACCTGAAGTATTTGGCTCTGCTTTGACCCTACTCTTGAACTTATTCGTATTGGTGTGATTGTAAACCGGCTACTACTCTTCGGTGACGGTTGAACTGAACCTCTCTGGCGAGGCATGCCTGTTGTGTTGTCCAGCACCGCCTGGGACAAATACTTGAACTGAGGCTTTTGGTGAAGTATAGCCGTTGAGCTAGCTTGTTGTGTTGTCCAGCACCACCAGGGCCGACTTACTGAACTGAAATTCTTTGGTGAAGCGTAGCCGTTGTGCTAGCTTGTTGTGTTGTCCAGCACCACCAATGATGAATTTTCGATCTAAAGCTTTGCTATATCCTGAATTTCTTTCAAATACCTGGGACTTTACGTCCGACTTCAAGCCTTTTGCCTGTTTTATCTGGTTACGCGTTTAACTCCCTATTGGATCATGACTATTTGATAAGTTGGATTGGCATGATATTTAGTACTTGAATATGATAAGTGATTATTTGATAAGCCATGCTTTACTGGATCATGGAAATACGATAAATGAGATTAGAATGATTCTTAGTATTTGACTGACTTTGAGGAAACTTATGGAACCGGGTGAATACAAGTTGGATTAGATTGAATTCTAATGCTTGATTGGTTTCTGAGCGATATCTTGACCGGATGTATATGCGTTGAAATTTCGAGGACGAAATTCTTTTAAGGGGGAGAGAGTGTGAGAACCCGTAAAATCCTAATATTTTTCCTAGGGTTTATGTCCCCTTAATTGCATGTTTTCTGCATTTTCTGGCTTAGAAATAATTTCCTGGTGAATTTTATGAGCAATTATAGTTTTAAGATGATTTTTCTAGCATTGGAGAAATTTTAGGAAGTTAAGAGTAAATAGTGGACGTGGGACCCACTAGTGCGAAAAGTTCGAAAAAATTCGGCCAATTAGGTTAAATTCCGGATACTGTGTAAAATTTATCGGGTGTTAAGAGATAAGTAGGGTGTGTGAAGTGATTGATGTGAGAGAGGAAAGAAAGATAAGAATGCATTTATGAAGGTGACAAGTGTCACCTTCTTATTGGATGCCTTTTAAGAATTACTATTCACAATTTTGACTTTTTTGACCAAAGGTTAAATATCCAAAAATTGCACAAAATTCACCATTTTTCTCTCCTTGTTGGCCGGCCACCTTGAGCAAGAA